AGCAGGGCTAGAGTGGGGACAATGCAAGTGGATAGATTCAAACATAATTAGGAAATTAGAAGAAAAACAACTATTACCTACTGATTCAATGGATGCCAGGGGTGAAGAAGATGGAGGAAGTAGGATGACAACCAGGTTTGGGGGTCAGGTAATTGGTACTTGGTTAAAGAGGAGAACACCAAAAGCTGAACAGGTTTGGGGAAGATCACAAATTGAGTTCAGATAACTTCGGGTTGAGGAGCCTGAGGGGACAACCAAGTGGTACCGTAGAAGGCAGCTGGGAGGGTGACACAGAGGCCTGAGAGGACAAGGGCCTGGAAATCTATCCTTGTCACCTTTGTGTGTTTATGCACTGGCTGCCTACATGTCTTCCTATCAGTGAAAAAGGCATTCTGAGGCAGAAATCAAGAAAATGATAAATAGATACAAATCAAACATTAAACAATTAAAGTCAATGCTAGATAGGGTAGGTCGGAGGCAGTCTCAGTTCCAAAGCAACTGGGACAGAAATTCAGAAAATCACTCTCTGGACATTAGGTGTCAACCCAGAGTCTAGCTCCACTTTTATTGGGGGGGGGCAGTACCCCCAAAATACTTTTGGAAATAATGTGTGTAGTCTTGGTGGAACCAGAATTCACTAGCCAGGACTCCCTAGCCATTGGGGGGAATAGTGACCCAAATTAGGCCAACTGGTCTCTCCCAGCATTTTGAAACCCTGAGGCCAGCAACACAAAGGCATGGTAGCAAGTTACTGGTGTTCCATTAATCTGGCAGAGAGGTCTTGATAAGACTCTCAAGTTATTCTTGCTACCCATGGAGATATGTTCTAGTGGCCAGGGTCTGGCTTTTTTCTTCTGCTTTGGGTTCTCCTCTAAATTCCCCTAGCTACCTAATAAAAAAAAAGTCATTTCCATTTAATTTAGTCAGAATCAGTTTCTGCGCCTGTGACCATAGAATACAAAGTGATTCGCAAAGGGCTGGACCAAAATTATTTCAAAGATATCTTTCAGGCTCACAGCACCCATGATATATAACTAATATCAATTTTTTAAATTTCTAGTAAATTTTTTAAAAGACCATTCTTTACAGAAGATATTACAAATAGAAATGTATTTAAATATGCACGTGTAATGATGATGACATCCTATTTTATTCACATGTGCACACACAGGCATACGAGCTATGCCCTCACGACAGTGTCACTACTAATATTTGAGGGAATGAAAGAACAATTGCAGCAATTACTAAATAGATTCCCATTTAACTTCTCATAGATAATGTGAGTTATTTCTTTTAACAAGAAAATCTTCATTTATTAAAAAGAACTGGTTATCTAGAAATAAAAATATATGTCAATTGCTCCTACTGTATTTAAATCTCTCGGGGTTTAGGTCTCATAACAGAGGACCCTAGGGAAAGTTCACTTACTTTATGGAACGGAGTATTTTTGAAACACACATAGAAATATAAGCAAAACAAAATTCATTATTTCTTATTTCATTTGGCCATAAAATGTTCAGTCTTTGGTTTAATTTGCACATTACAACACTTATGAATATTAGTCTAGATTAAAAAAATAATGTTTCCACGCATCAGAAGAAGAAGTGTCTTGACTGGAAGCCACTGCAGTGTATGAAAATGGAGAATTCTGGTAAAATTTATGGAGAGATTTAATATAATGGAAACTGAGGTAGTTTGCCTGATCCCCCCAAAATAAAATGCCATTCACAAAGGCAAAAGTTGCGACATTCATGGACATACAGAGTATCTGTAAATCTGAATCCTAGG